AGTTAATTATAAGAAGAAATTATTCCTAAGGGTAGATTTTAGGGGTATCTTTGATAGTTAAATGGGAACCCACTATTATTATTTTACTATCACATTAAGAACGATCTAAATAAAATTTAAATACTTATGTCTCAAAAATGAATACTATAAAACTGTTTATCGATCAGTCAAAATTTAATTTATGTAATTAACTTAATATTTACTATGGTTTATAAGATAATATAAATTTGAATTTGTACATTTTTATGATAAAACATTATTTAACGAAAAAATGAGGGATTTCATTCTAAAAAAATCATAATGTAGAATAATGGATACAAAATAATATGTAAATTATTTTTATTAATATTTCAGTTGACCACACTAACAGTTATTTACTGGTTTCATTATTGTAAACTTCAAACAGCTGTCAAGTTGTGTCGCGTGTGGTCTTACAATGTAGACATATTTTGTATAACAAAACAAAATCTGTTTAACTATACAATTTATTAATTTTCATCCTTTTCTCTCTTGGAAACCGTATTGTTGATTAACAAAGATAAAGATTTGAATAATAATATTTATGTAAATATGTTTTATTATTAAAATATAATCGGGATGGAAAATGTGTTTATTTAGAGTTATTATGATCTGTCTTCATTTTGATGTAGTTCTTTATATTCTATACAATAAAACATTTGCAGTATAAAAATTTTACCTAAATGATAAAAAGTCATATAATGTAAAACTATTATACCTTTTTCTCGTGAATATTTTAAATAGTATCTTAATGTGCAATCTAATCAAGTTTCGAGTAATCATAACACTTAATACAGTGTTTGTTCTATTTAATAACGTTATTTATTTGTCAATGATAATCATTATCAAAACGGATTTGAAACCAACGTGTACTTTTTAACTAATTGTAAAAAAACTATACATTTTTAATGGATTGCAGTTTTGAAATAATATAATTAATTAAATTAATATAATTTCCAATAAATGTGAGTTTATTATATGTTAATCTTAGAAGTCATCAATGTTCATAATCAAAATTATTAACAGCAATCATTACACCCGTTGATGTACAAGTATTTATAAAAGTTTATATTCAAGTTGGGATTATATACCGGTTTCTTTTAATAAATCATTAAGTAACACGTTTGTTTGACATTATGAACAGTGTTTAAATAAAAGATACCAGGATCGCCAGAAGAGAACGTAAAAATTATTTTTTTAATATGACTTTTAAGTAGTATTTTTGTCACTTAAATCATAAAATTGTACAATAAAACAATATTTAGAAAATTTTATTTTAGAAGCTCACAAAAATAAAATAATTATATTATTATAACTTAAAATAATTATTATAAAGTGAGGACATTTTAAATGATTACAACAATTATATTAAAATATATAAATTTTTTCTATTAAAGAAAATTAATTTTTATTAATACTATAAAGTTATAAAATAGAAATTTTTTATTTTTATTTGATAATCTTTTTATCTGGACGTTATAAAAATAAATTATAGATAACACGATTTGAATTATATTTATATTTTTTAATATTCCTTATTTCATAATCGATTAGATCATTTTCATTGATACGTTACTTGGGTTCAACCTAATAGTTGTTGGATATAATATTACATATTTAAAAATACCTGACGTGATTCCGTCTTTTTTTCCCACTCTGACCGAAGGGCGTTATCAAAAGAAAAAAAAAAAAGAGTATATTAATTTTATCAGTATCGTCTGCACATTCTGTCTTCGGCTTGTTAAGTACCGCACGCAATTAAGACGTCATTTTTTAAAGACAGGTCTTGGAAGGTTGTCGGATGGAAGCGTTTATAAAGGTTACGAGGGTTATTAGTGTACATTCTTGCACCCTGTTAACCCCTAAAACATAATGTACGACTGTCTTGTAAATTATTAACGAATGCATCCTGTAGTCGCCACTAATAACGTTCAATCATCAGTATATGGAAATTACTAAAATCTATTTTTATTATTGTTACTGTAGTGAAATACACAACGTTAAGTACTGTGTTGTACTTTTAAACTTGGCGTTTAAAAGTGATGAGATCTACCGATTTATTTTACACCTATTTACTAAAATGTAGTAATTTATAAACCTAGATTTTTCATTTATTTACGTCTCTTCTTATAAAATTGTAAAAAATGGTCCAAAAATTCCAATACGTCAGTATGACATTTTTAAAACGCACTAGTGTAATTTTGTTATAAAGTATCAAAAATTTGTACATAAATACAACATTTTTAATACTGATCATCAAAATGTTCACTTGCACTGTATTTATGTATTTCATTACATGTATGTGAAAATTTAAATATATTTTTTTAAATACGTTTATAAAACAAAAACTTATAGATAAACCTACATTTTACAAAATAATAATTTTATTTGACTGTAAAATTATTTACTAGCATATTAGCATTTCATATTTTATGGTCAAGATTTTTGATTGGCTATCAAATTTCACACATGTTTACTTAAACTTAAGTAGTATAGCATATACTTTTTAATTCAATGACATTTGCATGTCTGTATATTAAATGTGCACGTGCAACAATATAAATCAATTTTGTTATTTTCATGTTTTTAACTATAAGAGTATCGCGTATCATATAAAAGTTTAGCTCATAAAATAACAAATTTATGAATTAAAATAAATACAAAATAAATGTTAAGTGACTATGTACTAATAACAATTTTCATATAACATCAATTTATTTATATTTCTATATTAAAAATAATATTGTAATATCCATTTTAGTGATTTGAATAAAACTTATAAATATATCTTCATTGCAGAATGAAATTTGATCATCGAAAATTCAGCATACAACACTATATATTATATAGTGTTACAAATAAAATTTGTAACCTAACCGTTCAATTCTTCCTATTTACATTCCGACTTAAACACAAATTACCTAAGTAACTCCCTTTTACCAAGAGTATTAACATTATGCAATAAATACCTTAACCTTGCCTTTTTCCATTCATCTCTATTTCTATGTTTTATATACTCATTAATTGTGAAGTCAACAAAATTAATCTATATTGTTTTCTATATTAGTTATGTTATTTTATCTATTTATAAAATATATTAGATTTGTATTTTTCAATATTGTTTAGATTATATTTTATTCTTAACTATTGGGACCTGGACCGTTATATTTATTTGTTATATAATTAATATAGATTATTATTTAGCTTTATTTCAATTGATTATAATGAATTAGATAAAATTAAACTACATATTTATGGATAGCAATGAATGGATAGTAAATTGTGTCCAGAAAGTAATATTATGCAGATATTAGAAATGCCGTTATATCCTAATTATTATTTAGATAAAGAAAGGTGATCAACAAATTAGAGGTAGGGGTATGGTTAATATAGCAGATGACTTTTTTGTACGGATACAAAATTTATAACCGTTCATAGTAATTACACACACATACAACGTCTCTAATTCCCACAGCTGCCGCCACCATTAAACGATACATTGCGTTCCTGATTAATTAAAACTTGTAATTGTTTTCTAACACCAATATAAAGTGTTGTTTTACCCTTGGGCAATGTGTATAGCATATAGACCGTACATTACACTTTTATAATAAGCCTGGCGATCGTTGTCTTGCCTCTTTCTCCCAACTTATGCTAGATTTAATGATCACACAGTCTTTGATAGTTATCGTTGCTTCTGAGATACACACCCTTTTTCAATAAATGATCATCTTTGATAATTTCTAATAGGAAAAGTGTTAAAATTTTAACCTTGAAACAAAATAATTCAGTACCTCTAAAATTTTTGTCAAATTGAGAAAAAACTATTTGCTAATATATTAAACAATTTAGATTAAATCAATGTAGATCTGACACTTAATCTGTTCATAAAGGGGCAAACAAAATATCAACTTTTTTTTACAAAAATTAACTTTTGAAAATGTTCTGAAAATACTGCGTACTTTAAATATATATTAAAATAAAGCTTATTTTATGTACTAGAAGTTCTAAAAAAAAAAATTTGTATCGACGACCTATTTTCTATGTGCAAAAGGCAGTGGAAGTATAACAAGAAATAAGAATTAATTTTTCTTTTGGAATAATTCACCAATTTCTTAAAATTAAACACTATTTACAGATTTGCATCAAAACGTTCTTATGATAGTGATTTTAATATCAATCAGATATCATCTACACTTGTCTCAACTATGTCACGTCCATACTGTGCTACCGGTTTTATTATTATAAAACTATATCCTTGAAATTAGCATAAACGTAAAAAAATATGTTAAATTTATGTTAAAATTGTATAAAAAATAAAAATCATATACCAATTTTTTGAAAACAGTTTTTTTATTAATAAAATTAATCTTCTGGTAATATTATGGAGATTAATCGCGCGCGAAACAAACGGCTTTGTTATATGATGGGTCGATCAAAATTTGCACCTGTTTATTATAAATTGAAATAACTGCCCAATTTTATCAAAAATATCATTTTTAAACTTCAAAAATATCGATTTACATTAATCAGTCTATTGAATCTTAAGTTTATTTTTCATTCCTAAAAAATTGGTATTATTGTCTTTTTTCTTTTGAAAATAGCCATAAAATCGTATGATAAATTTTCTTGAGAAGCTCCATTGTGAGAAGTTTTTAAAAATATTTTTTGCTATCACTATTGCATCAAAATATACATAGCACACATATTCTTATATATTAATAATATGTGTTTTTAAATTTAATTCATTTACAAGATTGAAGAAAATAATATTATTTTAAACTGGTCAAAAACAAGCAAACGCAATAAATAAATAAATTATAAATAAATTGCTGGCTGTTCTATTAAAAAAATTTACAATGAAAAATGCTTTGTAAACAGTGTAGTTAAAATTATTATTGCTCATAGAGCAAACATTGTTTTAAAATCAAATTTTTTGTCAAAATTGTTTTAATTAAAAATTTTATTGGAAATTAGTTAACATGTTTAAAAAATCGTTGCAAACGTTGGTGAAAAGGACAATAAATGTGATCAACTATTCAAGTAACTGTCCAGATGTAAAAAAAGGTCTTGTGTTAGGCGTATATCGGGGATGTAACCCTGGTGAAGTACTCATGTCAGATCAAGCACAAGCATTTAACTTAATGGTTAAAAATAAAGCTAAAGATTTTCTTCTAACTTCTAATATTGCTCAACAAGGAGCAGTGGTAGCACATGATTTACATCCCGATTATTTCGCTGTAGCATTCGCTGACATTGGACCAACGGATGCTAAATACAATAAACAAGAAAATCTTCAAGACTGCTTGGAATGGACAAGAATAGGAGCAGGACTAGGTGCACGTGCTTTGCAAAGTTATGGCGTCGAAGAAATATATGTTGAAAACATGTCTCATGCTGAAGCAGCAGCTACTGGATCGGTAATAGGAACATGGGATTTTAATGAGTATAAAAATATTGAAGATCCAATTAAAACTACAATATTACCATATGAAGTTAAAGACCAGGATATATGGAAGATGGGAATAATAACAGGTGAAGCAACAAATCTAGCTCGCTATATTGCTCATTTACCTCCCAATGTTGGAACTCCTGAGATCATATCTGGATTCGCAATGGATGTATTGTGCAAATGCAATATAAATGTTGAAGTCAGAGATGTTGAGTGGATTGAAGATAAAAAACTTAACTCTTTTTTAAATGTAGCTAAAGGATCGCGACGCACTCCAATGATGTTAGAATTATCTTATTGTGGGGGAGTTCCCGATGCCAAGCCAACTGTTCTAATTGGAGACGGTTGTACTTATGATTCATGGGGCCTATGTCTTCGTGATAATAAACATCCAGAGTTTGGTATGTTTGGAAAAGCTGGTGCTGCATCAGTTATCGGTATTATGAAAGGCATATCGCAATTATCTTTACCTCTAAACGTCAACGCCCTTATTCCACTTTATGAAAATAAACCTGGTGGTATGGCCCTGAAACCGGGGTCAGTAATAAAAACATTTGATGGGAACACTACTGAAGTTCATAATACTAATAGAACATCTAGACTTGTACTAAGTGACCTTATTGGCTACAGTCAAAACCTTGCACCTAATATGGTTATTAATATGTCGGCCTTGTCTATTGATACTTTAAAATACTTTAATAGTGGAGCCATTTACAGTTACACGACAGATGACAAAATTTTCGACAACTTAGAATCCGCCTCTTCAGCTACTGGAGATAGAGTTCTAAGAGGACCTCTTTGGGATGTGTATAAAGCAAAAACACTTTGGCCATCACTTGCAGATACACGAGTCGTACCTCATCAAGCGACTGGAGATTCTATGGCTGCAGCAATGTTTCTAGAGAAATTCAAACCAAAAGGATCGAGTATGGTTACTTTAGATATAGCAGGTTCTTCATTTTTACAAAGCCCAAAACCGGATCATTATTTAAGACCGGAAAGAATGACTGGAAGTCCGGTTCGCACTGTACTACAATTCCTAAAACAAATCGTATGTCCTCATGATGCAAAGCCATCATGCTAATTTTTTTAATAGTAATCCTAAAAATTTAACTAAAAAATGTTTCATAATATATTTTATTGAACATACAAAATAATAAATTATAGATTAAATTTCATACAAATTATATAATTAACAAGCGTTTAAAATTAATTTGAGGTTTTGTAGAAATAATGTCTGAAATTATAAAAAAAAAATGTAAAAATTCCTATACTAGCTTACCAGTTGAGATATTTGTTTCTAAACTTATTTTGTATCAAAAAATTAATAAACGTACGCAATATATAGCGTGTTCTTAATATGTTTTATATATTTTATTTATAAGCTAGTTAAATTACAGGACTACAATATTATCTTAATATAATGAAGAATTATTATGATACTCTACATAACTGGTTGCCACAAACATATTTTGCTACTGTATAGAGGTTATTTGGTTTTTTTAACTCGTGATACCACATCAGTAACCACAACTGCTTAGGGTATTATTATTATTCAGTAAAACCACAAGTATATTCGTACTCAAATAAATAATAAAAATACTGACCATGCAACAAATTAGGTTTCTTTTATTAATAAAAAATATCTAACTAAAAATATATTTTGAGGAAATATTTTGTTATTATATATAGAAGCTTATTTTGATCAGGGATTCGGAACGGAACAAAAATATTGTTCCGGAACGTGAAATTTCGTTCCGTTCCGAGTTTGCTCCGGAACGGAACTCTTCCTAAAAATCGTTCCGACCATTTGCTCCGGAACGGNAATATAATTCATTGATGATATTTCAAAATTAATTTCAAAAATATTATATTAATTTCTTATTTGATTTTTTTTATCATTTTTAATCAACTAAATTGGATTATCCGTTACTACATTATGAGGGATTACTAATTGAGCGTTAGCTTATAGTATTAATAAATCTTAAGATTGCAATATAGTATCAATATTATCTGTTTCGTTAAATCTTAATAAATATTGCTTTCCAAAATTCATTTTAATAATTTTCAAACTGATAAAGTAGACTAAAAAAAAATTTTTCAGGTCGTTGGAAATGATAACTTAGAATTAAAAAAAGAAAACTCTCTCCGAATATATTTGTACAATGAATACTATGATGTATTTAATGCGCTTATGTTTAACCTTTGTGGAGATTCACTTTATGTGGGCCAATTGGAACGTTTTTAATATGACATCAATAGAAGATTTTATTAAAAATAAATGTAACAAACAAAATCCTATAATTAAACTTATGGTTTTGTAGACATAGGGTTGAAAACGAACATTCTGATAATAACCGTTAACATTTCATCATGCACTACAGCAGCAATAATGACTAGTAAAAATGTTCTCAATAATAGTAATAATAAGCTAACACCACACTGTATAGTGTTAACGCCTACTCGAAATTCTATGGATATATTATTTTGTAGATCTTAGCGTGAGGTTTTCATATGTTTACGTATGTGTATAGACTTCTTTCACATACACATACAAACACTTCTTATTTGTGTGTTGTATATATGGTGCATATATAAATATAAATATCAAGCTACTGAAAGGTATCTAGTCCCTAAAACACATTTACCCGTCACTATGCTCTTCACACCTTTAATATTATGAAGTATCCAAGACGGCGCTCCTACAATACACATATTAATAGTAGACTATGAAAAAATTGGGAATAGAAACTGGTTTCCGTTAAATTATACACGAACAGTATTAATCTATGGCTAGTACTTTATCAACGTGTGAGGTAGTTAATTAAATTAGTCGAAAATACTATTTGATATTAAATTTAGATAAACAAAATTTATATTAACACGTTACATGTTTACCATGGATTTCATTTGACTTTGAATGGCCAAAATTGAAATATTATTTGAATTATCTACAAGTAACGTACTTAGCTAAACTGGTTTATTAAAATTTATACTATATAAACAAAGTGTTTTTTTCATAGATGCATTGAGTAATTTACAAAAATTCATCTCTAAATTTATACCATTTAAATAAAATCAAATATATGATCATTTTTTTATAGTAATGAAGTTTTATTGTCTGTTTAAATGTATTATTATTTATTTTGCATAAATTTATAGTTGATTTTGTAGTTGATTCAATTAAAATTTCCTTCTTCGATGTATACATTTTTTCTAACCGTTTAAAATGTAATAAAATTTAAAATTATGATATGCTATATACATTAATAAAAACATAACTTTGTTTGATTAGCAGAATTCATGAACTATTTTTTTGATTTCAACACACTGTTAAATGTTAATTTCATAAAATAAAAAAGTACTGAGAAACGAAACAATTTAAAATATGGTCGTTCTTTGTCTCCGTTTGTTTGACACAATGAAGTCATATTGTATAATTGCGATAAAATTCATTTGACCCAATTACTAACTTTTAAACAATCGATTAGATAACTATAATAGTTTTAAAAAAATATCTGGTCGACTGAGGTAAATTTAAAAAGGCAGTTTCTCCGTCTAGTTACGATCATGCCTTATTTCCCCTTAAATTGCTACCGTTATTATACAATATTAAGTACTCGATATATTATAATGTATAAGTATAAAAAAATATTTTCATATAAAAAGTTAGTAATATTTTCTCCACGAAAATTTGAGTTACTGGTATATGTTGCAATTAAATGAAACGTACAGCAATGAACTACTAATTGAGTGGTTTTTGGTGTGAACATCTCTAAAACTCTAAAAATCTAGACTCTATAGAAGTAACAAGAATACTATTCATTCATAAACCATACATTCAAGAAAACAATCAAGATCATCATTCTTCAACTAATAATAAAAGAGTAATAATAGGGACCCATTTATCTTTCGAAAGCTACCCCTAAAATGTACCTCTTAGAAATAGTTTTTTCTTACAATTAACTTGATATCTACGATAGTTTATAAAAGTAAAGTAAATGCGTATATTTGTATAAAAAAAAATCATTAGTTAATAAAAAAATGTTGGGTATAATATATTTAATATATCACGCTGTATATTATATAGATATCACATGCGTTATAATATTAATTGAAAAAAATTAATAAATTGTAATGTTTCACCGTAGTGCATTACTCGTTTAATAATTGCGTTGTACAACAGTCGGAAAGAACTTTAATGGTACAAATCTGCTGCAAAGCTTTCGGGTGACAAATCGATAGCGTCTGTCTCATATTACCCTGGTACTCGTTTTCTAAAAGGCAACGTCATACGCCGCCCACGCATTTCACACTGCAACCTCAACGCCATGTGCGGCGATGGCGGCGGCGGCGCCGACCCGAATTACCACCAATATAACATCCCGGCGTACTCGTTCGCTTGTTTTGTTCGTCAATGAAATGCCGCCGAAGATTTATTCACATCGGACACGTTTTTGTGTGTTTTTCCGCTTCATTATTATAATGTACCACCACAGAAATGCCCAATTATCTCCGTCAAACGCAAACAAGTCATACACTATCGCACATGGAACAACCTCACGCCACCGCTCCGACTAAAGTTAAATTATACACTGTGAATGTGTACATGATTTACGTCCTGTTGCGACGTCGGTACGTCATTTTTAATTGTATTTATTTATCATACAAAAAAAAATGTCACTGGGTCCACAGTTTGAATATAACCACCGTAATAGTTTACTTATTAAAAAAGAAAAAACAATATTTTATTCATAATGTATTCTTTTCAATAATCTCCCGGAAAAATTATTATAATCAAGCCAATTGTCTTCTTGCGTTCGTAAAACATCAAGATCAAAGCGAGTGTTCCACAAAAACAGTACATTCTATGTGAATTTATTAACCTAATCACGAGTCCAGTGTGGTACACACACATCTACACTTAATACTAGCCAATGTAACATCTATCTACAAGAAAACGAATGCATTTTGGAATATATATATATATAAAGAACATTCCATGACAATTGTATTTATTTACATAAATACCAGTCTCTTTTTTTATTTTCGAAAAAACCCTTTCGATGTTTACAAATAGACCTTTGACTTTTTAATTTTTCCGAAATTTCTTATCGGATGAATAATTTTAAGTTAATTGCAATGAATTGTGTTATCGTTTAGGTGATGCTATTGGCGAAAAAATAAACAAACTTTATTTTTAAAGTTCGGTCGTCTTTTTTTTTTTATAATAATACAATATTGTGAAACATTAATTGTGTTTTTAATTGCTTCCTTATTAAATAAATATAGATCACTGATTCGCCCAACAATAAATCTTTGTGGATATTATGTCATTAACACGTTTAGTTTTTCAATAGGTTATTATTTATTTATTTTGTTGTATGGATCGTTAAGCAATATTGCATCGTAAAAAGGAGAGGGTGCTTTTCATAGGTCTTTCCACATCAGTGGGTTATAAACTTTAATGTTGGCAGGGACTTAACTGTAAAATCTCTGCTTTAGTTAAAAATAAGAACACCTGGTGTTAGATATCCATAAAATGCAAATGTAGTCTAGTGGTAACAAATTGAATACAAATGATAATTTAGGCGGGTGATTGGAATGCTGTAACAATTTCATCTGTATTTTCCAATAAATGAAATACGATCAATATACTAATAAATAAAATCAAAATTAACTATCAAGCTATTGCGTGTCATTGATTTTAAATAAAACACATAGTGAGTAATAGAACAATGTTTAAACTTCCAAAACGAATGAATATTAACAATATATTGAAAATTAAACACGTAACAAAAAAAATGACTCGTTAATATCGTATGATTTTTACTCTAAATTTAAACATAATATTACTATAAATTTTAACGTTAATGTTTAGGCACTGTACTAAAACCCCTACACAAGAGTAGAAATTATTTTCCACGTTAATCTATCGTGTGCATGTTTCTCAATTCTTGGCTGTCGGTGGTGGCGGCAACGACCACTTGGGATAATTAAATCGTATTCGTTATGGTCTCCGAACGTGAGAGAAGTATTCGGCTTAGACCGAGAGAGCCGACCAAAAACCATATACTCATAACCTGCAGGAGACGATGACTGCTTACATGGTAATAGCTAATTCATAACACGTTTCCAAAGCTCCCCCACTGACGCTTATTTATTAATATTAATTAATATATCTCTACGGAAACCACAGTTACTTCAAATATACTCTAAGTTACAATAACTGAAAAAACTTACCTCGATAAAAGCGTGAAAATTATCAACTTGACATTCATAAGATTTACTTAACAATTGAGAAATAGTCGTTGAAAACTTGACTTTAGAGCTAACGTTTGTTTACTTAATGTTTATAATTTTAATGTTTAATTGATTATTTTTATTTCATTCAACAATCTACCAATGCGTAAATAACAGGGGAATTATTTCAAGGGCATTTTTTATGAGTTTAAATGCTCGGACAACGTGATATGTACATGTAAAAAGTTCAATCGTTGAGAGTATCAATATAAAAGTAACAATTATTACCTACCGCAAAACATTAAACATTTTAATGACGTACTATGTGAAATTACACAATACGATGGGTTTCTTTTGTTTAAAAACGTATAGTACTTGCAAATATAAATTTTATGATTTTTAAGACAAGATTTAATCATAATATGGTATCGGATGTCGTTGTTACATTATTGATACTAAGTTTCTTCTAATTTATGCTATTTTAATTATGTTTAATGCGACGCATAGTTTTCTACAACTTAAAGAAGCCTATAAATATATGTTAACACTTATCAAAACATTATTATTGTTATTAAAACTATCCATTTATACGACCAGTATATACTGAATAAATGGATTAGTCTAATATATAGTAAACTAATCAATTTATTTTAAAGTTTATATAATATGTATACATTTTAATATATACATTTTTTCTTAAATTAAATTCTAAGTAATATTCAGTTATTTAATAAAACAGAAGATAAATTAAATTTTAAAAAATCAACGCACGTAATAAGAACCGAAATTGACTCCGTGATTAAATTAACGGAAATTTGAATGTTGACCTTTAATGTGTAAACAAGAAGTAGATAAACATAGCTCTAATTTTTTTCAAACATTATTGTACTTTATTAGTATAATTAAGATAACATAATTGAATATTGAGGTATGTGGGTTGCTACAACTAAAGAAGTTATTCCAACACAGGGGAGGTTTTTATCGGTTACACGTGAACGGATGGAAATTGTACCCTAGCAGGGCATATTTTGTTAAACATGTTATTCAATGTACTGCGTACAAATAATTTATTTTATACATAAAAAATATTATGTGCTACCTTATAGGGAACACTATGTGCCAGATGAAGTTGTTTAACGTTGGAGGTGGTGAAGAAATTTAGTTTAAAACTAACTAGTCGTTGAAAAGTACGGTTAAATGTTTTTAACGAGCCCGCCGTTTTCATTATTCATATTTTTAACGCACGTATGGGATTATGTACAGCGAAGGAGGTGTAAAAAGTAGTATACTATGGCCACCGTCGGTATGTGTGTTATTATTATTATTATTTTATGATTATTGTTGTTTCTTGAGATACTTACCGCATACTTTTACTAGCAATAGGTGAGGGGCAAAGAGAACGAACAGCGCCCACTCTGTCGAGTGATATATTACAATCAAACGCAGCGGGACAGCAAAATACACCGGCCGAAAATGAAAAAAAATCCAAAATAGAACTACCCGATGCTGGCGTGCGCTTGACCATGACCACTACTACAACCAAGGAGCACGACCTTTTCACCTTTGCCTGGAAAAACCCATCAGTTACCAAATTGACATACTCATGCAATCACAATATTTGTTCTTTGATTATGGACATTTATTATACACGTGAAAATCGAGAAACGTACGAAGCAAACTGTAAATCAATTTTTATTGCGGCCATCGATGTATGCGTGTTCTGTATAATTATTTTATTTCAAAGTATAATAATGAAAATAATCCATGATAGGATTAATGTTATAGTTAAAACAATAAGAGTTTTTGTAATACCTACTATGAATTCATCAATAAAAATAAAATGGGGTAAAATGGAAACACACGGAGTTAAATTAAAATCCATAAAAACTTACGATAAATAACACTGGACAGCAAAATTACAAATGTCGGTGTTAGCAATATTTTAATTGATTCGAATGTATTTTTATTGCTGATTCCGAATTTGGTCTTAGATTTTTCGTATTAGCTTTAGTTTTAAAATAACTACTAATTTTTTAAAAAATCAGAAAATGTATAATAAAATTATAACAAAAAATAAAAACATTTTTATGTTTTTCTACCAAAGAAATCTGATTTTTAGTATTTTAAACCCTAACGAAAATTGAGATAAATACATCAAATTTAACCTGTAGGTTATTAAAGTTGAATTTTTTAATTGAATTTTAACATACGACATAAATAATCGTTATAATTTCTTTAAGTTTAAAAGTGCTTAAATTGGGAAAAAAGTGGTAGATGTACTCTAGATACCTTTAAAATAGTAACGTGCCAGCGTTACCCCACACTCCTTTTTGCAGTTCCCTAAGTAGCATTAACATATAGAACATAGAAGAAATCAAATGAGCAAATAGAAAGTCGTTCAATAATACTATTATAGGTCGGTTGTTACTGGTTACCTAAATTAATGAATAGTGATAGAAGATAATGAATAGTTATCATTGTTGATTAATTATAAGTTATCACGTATTTGATATAAAATATTAAACAATTTTTTAAGATTATATTTATTATGAAAATAAGTAATCTTAAAGTAACAACCCGTTTCATGCACTTCCTTAAAAAAAAAATGTTAGGGTACGTCACAGTAGCTAAAAATATAGTTAAAGTACTTAGTCTTCTCGTGTCCCCCACCAAATTAAGCACTATGTTTCTATTTGTCTCATAATCATAAATTTGATATGAAATCATAGGAATTGCAGAAAGGATTTCAAAAATATAGTTTTTATGTTTGTTTTGTCTGCTAAATGAAATATACGATTATTTGTATAATTTATATTAATTAATTTATACTCGTATAAATTGATTTTTATTTGATTTTCTATTTATTTCTATTGATTTTAATAGTAAAAATTATGAAATCTCAAAATTTAATAATAATGTCATCTTTTTAACAGATGTTGTAAAATAATGTATTTTTTTCAAAAAAATAATAATTTTAACTACATCGATTAAGATTATGACAAGTATTGAGATGGATCCATCAAGTTACACCTGTTCTTACAAACCTATAAAGTTAAATTATAAATAAAAAAATAAAAAAGCTGTTTAGTATAATTTTTCTTTGATTTAACTTATTTAAGTATTATTTTTTATTTTATAATTCTTACAGAGTTATTGTAACTACAATTTGTAGAATTCGAGATGTAAAACTATTGACACATTTTCTGTCTTTCGCACAATAAAAAAAAAAAAATAACTATAAAGATGTTTGTCGATTATTATTGTCACCTTCAATTCAAGGATTATTTACCTTTGTAACAATACAGTTGTGAACGTTGGTGTGTTATTGGACGGATAATATAACGGATTAAATAATTCAATAGGGAGCCAAACAGTGTCATTCCTTTGGCTATTATTTTTCTGCTCCATTGGGTTTTCGGCGGTCACAAAATAAAAACGCTCGTGTCGCCCATTTGATGTCCACACAATGGCATAATTATTATTGTCATAATCGCGGACCACATAATATTGGTTAATCCGTCAACGCGTCCTCCTTTCGGATCACTGCATGTTGTTACATTCAGCGTAGACTCGACCGGTTTTCTTGGATTTTTCTGTCGGTCGATTAACGCTAAACCGATCGATTATGACCACAAAACGATTGGCTGCCGAGGGGGACGTACAATTGCAATTTTTAGGGAACGGAGGGTGTGTCAGAAATATTTCAAATTAGTATTATTGTTGTAAATATACATGTGTATATATATTTTTTTGGAAAAGCGTGCGCAACATCCGATATTATTCATGGTCGATAAATTTGCCGACCCGACCACCGAAAATATCAAAAATAATATTACATTATATAAATCATAACAATAGCGTAAAATTTCAAATCAGCTGTTTGTATTTAGTTCACAGTTACCTTTACATAGTTCATAGTAACGATCAGGATCAATCGCATTACTCAGATAACGACTGCCAACAACCAAAAGCTATAAATGACATTTTCAACTTAATTTTTGCAGCTCATTTTTTCTATCGGAATATATCAAAATATTAAGTGTTTTATAATTCATAATTCATTGGCCATTAAGCTTAAAAGTATTCGATATTATTATTCGTATGCCATTAAAAATATTATGTCATCACTAGCTTAAAATATTAAACAAGCTTGTTAATATATTTTTTTATTCTTTGTTGAAATATTATGAGTTACTTCTATTATTATTTAACCATACTATCATGATAACAAATAAAAATAATTTATATTAATGAATATATTTATGTATATTAAACTAAGAACTCATTACACTTTTATAGTTTTTTTAACAAGAACTGTATTGATTACGCATTTAATAAATATTTTATCAACAATCCACGTTTGAACTCACTGTTTCATTGCGAATAATAACTAATTTAATTTCATAGGCAACACTATAATTTGTTTATGTCATGTTAAAATGAAATCTGTGTCATAAAATACCAAACATATTAATAATGACCGTAATAAACGTATTTTCATTACTATTGCGTGTGCCTTAACTCATTATTTTTTACGATTAAAATAAATATACTAATAAAAATCTAGAATACTACATAATAATCTAAAATAGGTATTTAGTTAATTTTTAATTTCTTCTTGTGCTTCCAATAATATCATGTTTATATTTATCAGAAAAATAATTGATCATTGTGTACTATAATATGTTGAAATTTTGTTCAAGATTCCATAATATATTTTTATTTAAATGCAAATTCAATTCAAAATATTTTAATATTCAGTCATATAATTTTTATAACGATAATACTTAAATGCACAATTATTATATTTTATCGAAGAGTAAAATATCAAAGAGTAATTTCCTAGATTTTATCATAATTATATTAAGAATAATATATTACTTTTATTAATTGAATTTTAAAACACTATTAGTATAAAAAATAATTTAAGACATTAAAACTATAAAATTACACAATGTTTATAAATAGACATATTACTTGTCAATAAATTAAATCGTTTGACTTAGCAATAAGCAATTCAAATAAAAATTGAAAAAAAAAAAAAAAACACCAGAGAAAACTAAAATTTATTTGGTATATAATTCTTAATATAAAATAATTTGTTGACAAAACTAGAGTCATCATATTGGTTGAGCGTTCTATGAATAGGATGATTATGATTACACTACTGTGATACTAAGAAATATAAAATAAAAAGTTATTGCTTTTGGCATATGCCGGAACACGAAAGGAGATGGAGAACAAAGATCAGGGTCGGATGTAGTTCATACAAATAGAAGCGATGAATGAAAAATCAGCAGAATTATGACGAGATACTAGAGTTGAGATATTAAGTGCAGTATGAATTAAAGTGTAGTGTAGGTGATGGGTGTGGAATTTATAAGAAAACGATTTTGGTGTCATGCTAAGTATGCCAAACAATAATATTCCAAGAAAGAACAAACTTGTGTAAAATAAAGGGTACGAAGACCGATAAAGGATATAAAACGAGTAGTGTTGCACTTCATAAAGCCCATGATTCTCATACCAAAAGTTACCTTGATGTGATGATTAAATGTAGGAGTAAGGTAGAAACCAAGATCTTTAGCAAAGGAAACATAACATTTTTTTTACAGTTAAATAAAATTCAATAATTTATTGAAATATATTTTATCTGTTCATTTGGAACAATATTTTTCCCCATATACTATTGGCACACGGGCAATAATACGTAAAAAATGCTAGTGAAATTTTTGTTTTTTAATCAATGGTTATTATTTAAATTCAATACGCATAAGAGTATAAAAATAATTTTACTATAAGAATTTTCATAAATTTAATCAGAAAAAAATAACAAAATAATATCATCTCTCGATCAAATATTAAAAATATATAAATATTTACTAAAATTATCAAATTCAGTATAATTTTTCTAAATTATATAAGCTCGTACGTTTTTAAAGATCTACGTGTGTTATTCATTTTAATTAATTTAGACAATATAAACATGTTTAAAATTCTGGCTTTAACAATAAGTAATAATTGTTTAGTATTAATTTAGTTTTTTATGTAATTAAATTTTATTATTTCAATCTACAATGGATAATGACAATGAACAATGTGCCAATGACGAGTTTATACCAGAGACATTAGAAGAAAGACTTTGGGGTCTTACAGAAATATTTCCTCAATCAATTGTTGATAAAGCTTGTTATGTAGGAAAAATAACAAAGAGACACTGTAAAATTGCTCTACATTATGGTCGTACTTATGGGTGGATGATTGGAAGTTCAGCAGCAATTCTCTTTATACCTTTAATTACTCATCGAGAACTTCAAAAAAAATGTTAATTTTTAAAACAAAGGCTATAAACTTAATGGTGGTTATAATAAAAATACTCTATATCCAAATATTAATTGTATAATATAATTGTAATTTATATTATTTTCAAATTGTACATAATTATGACCTATAAATTTACAGTATTAGCGAAACAAGTGTTTTTGTCTTTCGAAGTATACAGAGTAATTATTTTAACGCTAGCTATTCGATAAGTAAAAATATCTTAAAATAACATTCTTTATTAATCATTCTTTTTTTGATTTTCTTAGCATACGTTTTGTATCTTAAAAGTGTAACAACTATTAAATATATTTATAACTAGTTTATAAAATAGAAAATTGATATAATTATGAAAATGACTGGTCGATAATAACTTTTGGATCAATAATTTGGAAGTTTTTAACATTCTTATACCTAGACGGAGGAGAGGTATAGTATTTTCTCTAAAAGCTTACAAAATGAATGCTTATTATCTTTAGTACATTGTATTAAAATTTCATTAGGGTAAATGTTGAAAAAAAAAAGTTGTAGCATGTTTAAAATGTAGAAAGAAAATATTGAACTTGTAATATATTCAAAATTTAGAGTAATTTTAATATTTTTTTAATTAAAAAAATTGAGGGTTATTTCAAATTTTTAAAATTGATAAATTCAACAAGAAAGTTTATATAAAAAGAGTGTGCCCAACGTTTCCTAGCAGAATTTATTAAGTGCACATTTACGATACAACTAGAGGTTATGTTTATAAATGATCAAAATTGCTATCACTTTACATAAATCAGAGTTGAAAAATAATATAGATAAATAATTTTTAATATTGTTTAAAAAAACAATGAAACTATTTGTATGATCCTTAGTGTAAATAGTATTTGATTTTTAATAGATTTAGATAAATCTATTTTATTAAGATTAAAAAAATATACATATATTTATTTTTATTTTAACAATCATGTAACGTGGAAACTAAATGACGCTAAAAATGTTTTATAAATGCATTTGTAATAAAAATTCTAAATACTAAATAATCAACACGTTTGAATTTAAAACAATACATACATTATTAGTGACAACACTTTCTGTTTGTGAAACCTGGAAAATTATTTAGACATAATAGATATTTATTTCTGAATGATAGGATTTAATTTATGAATATCTTATAAGCTGCTGTTAATAAATTTTCAGTTTACTATAATATTAAAATTAAGCTATTATTCTGGTTTATTGAATTCCAGTGAAAAAATTTAAGCTGTTACTTCAATAAACAAAGATATAAATAAAAAATAGATGGTACTTTGCTTAAGACTAATACAAGTCTAGTAATGAAAGATATTGTTAAGTATTAAAAATAACAACTGAAATTTTTTAATCACATTAGCGATATGTCCACATTCTTGTTATATAGATGGCTATCTAGGTTCAACTAGATTAAAATCGGGTTATTTTTAGGCGTATATCAACAAAATCAATTGTGTGAGAGCTGAGAATTTTTATCGACGAACACAAAAAAAAAGCATGATATAACCAATACCTTCTTAACTCAGCATTAAAGCTAAAAATAATAATACATAAATCAAAATTTAATCTGTTCATTTTTAAGAAAAAATTATGATATGAATATATTTTGTCTCTTAATTTTCCCTACTACATTTTTGTATTTATTTTTCATTAAATGAAAACAATAACTCATAATTCATAACTAAAAATTTTAAATAAAATTATTAGCTGTATTATTTTTGAGAACAATCTTTCTATACACCTAAGGTATAGCTTTACTAATATATATTAGCAGTTCACTGTCTACGAGAGGGAAAATTAACTAGATTATTTAAGTATTTTTTTGAAAGTGTGATATTATATAACCTTGCTTTATTTTTTATTAATTAACGACTATACTAGTAATTGAGCAAAAAAAGGTCGTCAAAAACATTTTTTTAACTTTCATGTTGCCCGAAAGAAATTTAGGTAAAACAAATGAAGTTTATTTATTTTCTTTGAATTTATATTATTTAAAAAATTTTTAATGTTTATCTGAAAATTCAAAGTAAATTATATAATAAAAAAAAAACGGTAGCACAGTGGGGTCGCGGCATAGTGGAGACATTGCATAGTAGTTTCCAGTATAGATTTAATCTGACAGTGATTAAAATCACTATCATAAGAAACGCTTCGATGCAAATCTGTAGATAGTGTTTAATTTTAAAAAATTGATGGATAATTGCAAAAGCAACATCAACTTCTATTAAAATAAAATACAAAACCCATAATTATCATACAAAAATAGTATATTTTTCAATATGGTAGCCATTTGCG